TATATATATTATGGCTTTTTTCTGCAACACTTTGCCTAACAAAACCAAAATAACTGAACCACTTGCTAAACTAGTTTCTTTAGCAAAATAATACATTAAACCTGCTCTCAGTCCAGATACCGTAATTATGTCAGCATCTTGAAAGGTCCCTTGAGCAGCAGTAGAGATGGGTTCATGAACAAAACGTGACATTATGAGCCCTAAAGGTCAGCAGCTTTAGAGACATGAGATGGTTAGAAATCACTTGTTGTAGTGGTGGACACACAACCTGTTGTCTCTTCTATGTCTGTCTCTTTCTTTCCCTTTTTATTATGTGTTCATGAGATGACTGTTAAAGATCAGATGAACCTTAAACTCCAGCTTCATCTCTCAACCTTTCTTCAGCAGCATTTGATTTGCTTTAATACTTTCCAACCACCACTTATTAACACTGTTTTATATCCTTTATTTCTGTCCTGATGTTTATTTTTTTCCCCATTTCATTACCCTCTTTTTTTCTCTCTGTACGCATGTCTCCTTCATCTCTGCTTTTTGGCTGTGATTAGATGAGAACGCCCCAAAATCAGAGGGTAGCACGCCTGAGAAAAGTGTTGTCAAAGAACGAATGCTGGAGAAAATCGATTTGTCTAAAGGTATTTTAGTGAGATAGGTTTGATGTTTACTGATGAACCTCTGAACTAATGACAGAAATGGCTATTTAGAGTTAAAATCAATAAAACTGTAGTTCATTAAACAGCTTAAGATGAAGTTAGACCACCAGTTTGGTGGTTAATGCAACAAGTGTGAGAGATTCAAAGTTTAAAATGTACATCCTTAAAGCTTTGGAGGAAGCAAATGTCCAAATAGAGTTCAACACACTACACATTTTAGTGAAAACCATCTTTAAGTGTTTGTAAGACATCTTTGTGGTTAAAGTGAACTTCCATTAGTAATTTCATCTGTTTTTGCTTTTGTATGTTGAGGCTTTCATCAGAGTTCACTAAAATAGTTTCAATAAAACCTTGTGGCAGAACATTTCTGTGAAAGTTTCTGGAGATTAAATTATATTTGACACGTCTTTCTCCTCCTAAAGGAAACTTTGTCAACATCAAGTACAACCTTTCCGACGGTTACATCCCTTCTTTCCAAAAAAAGGAGATCGGCACAGTGGGACAGAGAATCCACCTGGCCCCTTTGTCCGGCCAGCACACAAGTAAGAACTTCTTCTTTTCTTGTTACTGTATTTTTTAATATTTTCTCTTAGAAAGAAYGCACCAGTCATGGGATTTAAAATGACGTTCTGCTCCTCAAGTCTTAATCATTAGTTAATAGTCTATAATCTGAACTGTCCTCTTGTTTGTTCAAGCTGTTCTGTTTTCTTCACTGACCTCATCATTTTATGGACTATTTTACTGGATCTGTCAAAACTCATTCCAACTATTCCTCTTTCTTCTACCTTTCAGTTACCCCTTCCCCCACTTCTTCCGATAGTAAAAAAATCAAGACAAAACCAACAAAACTCAAGCCTATATCCAACTCAACACTGAGTGAAACTAATGAAGGTACTCTTTGTTTTTTTAGGCAGAACAGTGATGTTTCTGTACTGTTGGCAAAACATCTCGTGAACCGGCAGACAAATCTTAATGAAACGACAATCCCAGGCTACACCTTTAAAACACCTCATGAAATTCAGGACAGATTTTAGTGCAACTTTCGAAGTAATCAGTTTGTTTTATGACTCATTAACGTGAAGCCATCTGTAATGGGCAACTCACAAAATACTGACCCTAAATTTAGAGTTTTAATTTTGACCAAAGCAGCTTCTGCTCACAACAAAAGCAGCAGGTGATATGTATTCCTTCAAAGAATGCTAGGCTTTAGTTTTACATCCAGTCTGCTGAACAGTCCTTGGTCGTTTCCTCGTGAGAAAGCCTTACAGAAATCAATAATGCAGATGTTTTATGTCTTAGATTACGAGGGCTGGAGACGGCGGACCAACAGGACTCAGGTGAAGGAGAGCAGTTATTCAGCTTTGGGGAAAACCTCCGGGAACCTCCTGAGCAGAGCTCCGGCCGTGCAGCCYGTCCACGGCAGGGTGGACTGGTCGTCCAAGTACGGTGGAAACAGGTGAATCAGGAAATGGAGCAACTTCCTGTGTTGGCTTTATGTCCGCATCTTTTACTCAAGAAATAAAATTGGAGCCGTTTTGCCATTTCAGTAAAAATGTGTTTATTATCTTGAGATTTGGTAAACTGCAAATATTTCTCATAATTGTTTGTTTTGGASATGAAGTTTGCCAAGATTATCTCAATGTATTCTTGAGCAATTCAGAGTGGGCCAATTCTCCTTTTGGTGTTTGCATAATACAAGTAGAATTTATATGTAGCAACTTGTTTTATTTATTTTTTTGTAAAGTATTGTTTTACTTCCCATAACAAAACATGAACTCTGATCTGTGGACTCACTGCTTTATTCTTTCTACTTTAGGTGACAGAATATCAGTTCTAAATGTATAAATAAAGGAGGAGTCTTTGTATTATACATTACAAATGAAACATTTTGTAATAATTTTGTACTAATAAATACATAAAAGTTCAAAGTATGTTTATTTATAAATGACAAGACAGCCATCCTGATACAATGTATCTCATCATCTAACACTCAGCTTTTTTTTAACAAAACAACAGTGCATGATAAATGTTGACAAGCAGCTCGAAAACAGAAACTCCTTCTTAAACGTGATGAAACGTTTTCGATTTTCAGCCTTTTCACCTCATGGAGACTCTGCAGGTTTCTGCAGCAACGTCAAACTAAGTTTCCCAAACATCAACAGACTGCAAGGAGAAGAATATATTACTCAATTAGATTTTTTTTCCAAAGCATACGTTAGAAATTGTACCACCACAAAAAAAAATTGTAATTAGAGCAACAAAAGGAGCTTTATAATTCAGACCTGATAGTGTCACACACCTTTACTTACATAACTATATTTTATAAAGTTTGTGACAATAAAAAAAACAAACCTTGCTCCTGCCATCAAACCAGCGGGCATCAGCTTCCTCGATGCGTAGAACCTCTTTCCCATGAGTGCAGCGAGGGCTCCGGATGTTCCTGAGTGTAAAACATGGAAATCAGCCAAGAGCATCACAATACAGAGACTTTGTACAACAAAAATACATAATTCAGCCTCATACATACATACATACAGGTACATATCCTGTATGTACATATTAACAAGTCACTTCACAAGACAGACCAATGCATGAAGCACCAGGTCAAGTACAGCATATTTACATACCATGTATGTACTGGATGAGTACCAGATACATAACAGATTTTTACCTGCTACAGTGTTTGTACCTGCTAAGTTCCAGGTAAGTACCTGATAAATACCATGCATGAATCAAGCAGCAGTCTGGTACTTGGTAAACACAAGTTAGGTACTAGTTATGTATCCAGTAACTACAAGGCACAAACCCAGTCAGTACCACGTATGTAACATGTACTTACCATATAAATACCAGGTATGTACCTTGTAAGTACCAGGTATGTACTATGTCCATACCATAAAAATACCAGGTAAGTACCAGGTATGTACTATATATACATACCATATAAGTACCAGGTATGCACTATGTACGTACCATATAAGTACCAGCTATGTGCTATATATGTACCATGTAAATACCAGGTGTGTACTTTATATGTACCATAATTTATTACCAGGTATGTACTATGTATGTACCATACAAGTACCAGGTATGTACCTTGTAAGTACCAGGTATATACTATGTACGTACCATACAAGTACCAGGGATGTGCCTTATAAATGTGAGGTATGTACTATGTATGTACCACACAAGTTCCAGGGATGTACCTTGTAAATACTAGGTGTGTACTCTATATGTACTATATAAGTACCAGGTATGTACCAGATATGTACTTGTGTTTACTCATCACATATTTAGGTTTCTCTATTTCATTTTTAAGATAATTAATCATTATTTACTAATAAATCTGTTTGTGTCCAAGGCTAAAATAATAAAAATATTATATCTGGTTTTCAAGGAGTGAATTCAGTTTATCCAGCTGATAACTCTGTCCTGATCTTCCAATGCCATCATTTGTTACTGTGTACATCAAAACATTTTACCAACCTAGTGACACCCAAATGTTGTTAGGGTCATTGGAAACCTGGTAGGCGCCAAATCCAGCAAGGCCACCGAAAAGAAGACCAGCAGCCAGAGAGGGAACGCTGCCTGWGTGTGTGGGAGAGAAAAAAAAAACTCAAGGTCTTCACTGAAGACAGAAAAACATGGACAAGATGTGACTGAGCTCACCTTTTATGACCTAGTTTGATCATTTCGAACAACAAAACTAAAACTCATATTTACATTCACAAACAAACGGTGTAGGGAAAAACATTTTATTTTTAGACAATAAATCAATAAGACCTAAAAAGCTAAATATGAGAGCCAGAGTTGGGGTTTTTTCATCAAATWAGTGTTTAGAATAAAACACAATTTTCATTTAAATTGTTTTAAACATTAAGAATAGTATGGCTATTCTGACATACTGTCCATGTAAGTATTTTTTTGGTCTACATCTAACACATGCAGGACGGCGGGGTCACGAAGACCAGGGTTGGAGTCCTCTGCTCTGAGTGATAAGGCCTTCCAGTTATTGGTGGTGTTGTTGTGGCTTACTGATAAACTTAGTTCAAACGAGCTCGCTGGCAATAGATCTCACGCTACATCTTCTGCAGCTTATCCATAGTCAGGCTGCGAATTGTGCAGGGGAAAAGTAGAATTTATTTTTGTGGACAGTAAACGAATGTGATGGCAAAAAGACAAATATGAGAGCCAAAGTTGGGGCTATTCATTATATTGGTATCCTTAGAATAAAATACACACTTTTCAAGTTAAACAGATACTTGGAYCCATCTCCTTCATGGAATGTTCTGCTTGACATTTAAAAAAAAAATTACTAAAAGTCAAAAAGCTGAGTCTTTCTGATGTATTTTACAGTATTATTCAGATGAAACACTTTAAACCGGTTCAAGTATCATCATTATTTCAGATCTATTTCAGGCTGTTTCTTACCTGCTTTCACATAACCAATGACCCCTCCGGAAGCGATTAGAGTGGCATATCCAAATCCTGCCCAGTCCACGGACATGTTGGACACCTGAGAGAAGACACAGCCCGTCAGTGAAAGCACCACCGAGAGACACAGACCGTCTGTGAACGCACCACCAAACACGCTCTGCTGCAAACGGTAACTAGCATAAACCAATTAATGCGCGACGTACTCACAGAGGTAAAAACATTTAAAAGACCGCCTGACACCAGTGCTGCAGAACTGTTACAGAAGATTAACGGAACCAAAATAACACATGGAAACATTGTGACTACTTTTGGGAAACGTATGCATTTGCTTTCTTTATCTGAATGCAGAAGGACGAGAGTGTGTGTTTGGCTTAAAAGATAATGAGCCTGTGTTAGCTAACAAAATCGCAGTGACGATAAACCCAAAAATAAAAACAAAAAACCTTGAATTAACTAACAATAAACAATGCAACGATGTTCGAATAAATCGAAACTTTAAAATGACGAAATTAAAAAGCCAAAAAGATCAATAAAGCGACATACAACCTTCTGTTTGTCCATTTCAAGCAGCGGAGTTGAGCTGTTGTCCTCCGAACACAAATGAACGTTGCACCGAGGGGGCTGATGGGAAATGTAGGCTGGAGCTGGAGCACCGTGAGAGTTTTAAAGCGAACCTATAGCTAAAAACAGACTTACGGGTATAGAAAAAATGTGTAACTTCATTCAAGCACTTCTAGTAGGTTCTGCATACATTAACCTACAGCAGATTTGGCTTGTGTAGATAAATACTGAAACGATTTAAAACACTCTACGCTTTCTACGGTCTTTGCCACCTACACAGATGACAGCTGCAGTGGAGTGACATATATATACAGTGGTTTGCAAAAGTATTCATACCCCTTGAACTTTTCCATATTTTGTCACATTACAACCACAAACATAAATATATTTCACTGGAATTTAATGTGAAAGACCAACACAAAGTGGTATACAATTGAAGAAATTTATAGTTAGTACTGATTAAATAC